TCAGTGGAGAATGTCATAACTTAAGCAATCCTCATTGGCTGTATGTTGGACTCTAGTTTTTTCTAGTTTAGCACACATTAAAATGGACATCTTCACCGCTAAATCTTGCTATACATTGGATTTTATTAGGCTTGCGTTCCTAGGCAGAGAGTATTATGGGTTTCCAGGAGTTTGTTATGTGATAGAAATTACCAAACTGCCTGACATATGGGAAATGCCTATTTTCTCCCCACTATCCACTCCAGTAGCTTTGCAAAAACAAAAAACAAAAAAAAACAAAACAAAAAACCAACAAAGAAGAAGCTGGGCACTGGTTACTCAGGGCTGTAATCTACCTACTCAGGAAGCTAAGATCTGAGCATAGTAGTTCAAGGCACAAAAGACCATGAAACTCTCCTCTAACCAACACAAATCCAAAAGTGAAGCTGTGGCTTAAGTGTAAGAGTGCCAGCCTTGAGTGGGAAAGCCAAGCAAGTGCTATAGAATCTGAGTTCGAGCCCCAATACTATGGTGGGAGAGGCAAATTATTTTAATTTTAGTCAGGTATAATATTTATAAACATATTTAATGGCAATTTCCTTTTCTACTTTTGCAAGTTCCCTGATTTTTGCCTTTAACCTATTTTAAATGCTTAAAATAAATTTTATTACCACTGTTATTTTAAGTCTTTATACAGTAAGGATATGCAACCTTTAATCTCTCTTATTCTGTAAGTATTTGTGTAGTTTACTTTACATTTTGCTTTTATCTGTTGCCTTTCACATAGAGGATTTAGGTTTTCTTCATCTAAATCTTTATTATCATGATTTAAGATACCTTTCTCAGCTCAAAGTTAAATGTCTATTCATATTTCCATCTTGAACAGTCAATTTTTAAAACACCATATCTTTAATTCTTAGAGCTTATTTTAGTATATGGAACTATTTGGTAAATGGAACTTTTTTAATGGCCTGCCAATTTTAATCATATTTTCTAACAGATTATTGCTGGTACACTGGAAAGTCAATGGATTTTATGAATTTATTTAAAAATTGGTAGCTTTTCTCAAATTCTTATTCTAATTTTTAGATGCTATTCTTTTTAGGTAAAAAATTATATATTCATATTTCTAATATTTACAGTTATTTTCTTCTATTTATTTGGCTCTAAATTTAAGAACCACATTAAGGAACAGTATGGATATCTTGGCTTTTTTAAAAACAAAATTAACCTGGTGTTATGTTCTTTTTAATTTTTTATTGCTATTATAATGGTGATATAAAGAGGGATTAAAGTTACCTAAATCAGATGAGTACATTTCTTTTCGGACAGTCTCACAGCTTCCCTTGTTTTCATCCAGTTTTCCACACACACAAATTTTATAGTTCATATTCAACATAGTGTCTAGTGATGACCACTGCTGTATTTGTTTACCTTTTGTCCTTCCGTTTCTATACCCTCCCAAAGACAGAAAAATGAACAAACAAGACAAAAAGAAAAGAAAAGGAAAACAGCAACAGAGAAAAAAAAACATGTTTCCATTTCCTGGAGTTGATTTCGATAAATGTTATTTTATATGATCAGATGCACACAGGCATTTTGCCTTGATATTCCTCTCCTAAGTTAATTTTTTTAAAAGAGTATCTCGGCGTGTGTAGCTGACCTCCAATTTGCAGTCCTCCTACCTCTACCTTCTTAGTGTTGCGATTACAGGATGAGATTACCACCACACCCATCTTGCTTTTCAATTTCACAGAATCTAATTTCTTTTTTTGTGGTATCTTGTTGCAACATCTCTGGTTTGAGGAAAGCCTTAGATGACCCTTACTTCTGTGTGGTCAGAGAAGTCTTAGGCACTGTTTTTGGCGGCTCTGAGAGACTCTGGCTTCTCCCTGGGCTGGGGCTACTTGCGGGTAAGTGAGGCTCAGGGATATTTGTGTGCCTCTCCTCTGATAGCAGGCCTTTCTGAGGGTTGGCAGAAGTGGCTGCAGTCCCTCACAGTTAAGCATTTGGTGGAATAAAGGGATATAAAATGTCATCCTGGGGGCTGGGAAGGTGGCTTAGTGGTAGAGCACTTGCCTTGCATGCTCAAGGCCCTGGGTTCGATTCCTCAGCACCACATAAGCAAAAAGAAAAAAGCTGGAAGTGGCACTGTGTCTCAAGTGGTAGAGCGCTAGCTTTGAGCTGAAGAGCTAAGGGACAGTGCCCAGGCCCAGAGTTCAGGCCCCATGACCAGACCCAAAAAAAAAAAAAATGTCATCCTGAGAACTGAGTGTGTGCCCCATATGAAGTGCCTCGGTTGCCTGTTCTATTCTTAGACCAGTAATATTTTGAACAAGATGCACAGCCATGAATCACTTAACAACAGAGAAACTGCAGAGAATATGTAAATGTGTCATTGGGTGATTTCATCCTTGTGTAAAAAATCACCCTTCTATCCACCTAGCACAGAAAGCACATGGGATTGTTATCGTCTAGTGCTCCTAGAACTGGTGACACAAGATTAGACAAGAGCAAATGATGCAGTTAAGATGTGAGGTAAACACAAGATGTGCAGTGTCTAGATGTTTGAGGCTGCTGCCTATGTACTTAGCAAACTGCTTACAGTAAACTCTTCTCTAAAAAGTAGAAACTAACACTATATAATAATGATAAAAGCATAATAGAGTCAATACAGCAAGCAGTCACATAGCCCATATTATCAAGTATGACTAACATATTGCACCTGATTGTGCTGTGCTGTGGTGTTAGTGACAAGTGTTTGTCACTTGCTTCACCATCAAGCTTCACCACCAAGGTGAGGAATGCATTGTGCTTGTTATGCAATGCTACAGAGTCACCAGGAGAGAGGATATTTTTGGCTCTGTTGAAATCTTCTGGGACTACCATAATACATTTGGTCTGTCCTTAGCTGATAAGTTCTTGAGCAGGTCATCAGATAATCTTATTGTTCGGCTTCATTCTTAAGGAGGCTCAGATTATCTTATTGTTTGGCACTTATTTATTTACTCATGCATTCAGTGCCAATATTAGGATTGAACTCAGGGCATTCATGGTCTTTCTCACCTTTTTCTTTTTTCAGTCTTGTGCTTTACCCTTGAGCCATGTTTCTAGTTCTGGAAGTTTGCTACTTAACTGGAGATAAAAGGTGTTAGTATAATTTGGGGAGGGGAAGAGAAAAAACAAATTGTTTAAATAGGGATACAGGTGGACCCATTGCAACAATGAGATGTACAAGACGTTATGTCGAGAAATGAACTTTACAACTTTGGCTGGGGGTGGGGGGAGATGGAAGGGATGGGAAGGGGCAACAAAGGAGGAGGCAACAATGCTTGACAAGAAATTTGTTCATTACCTTGCTCATGTAATTGCAACCCCTCGTTATGGTATTTTTATAATAAAAAATTAAATCTCTCAATGAATTAAAAAAAAAGACTCTCAGATTTTGTCTGCCCAGGCTGGTTCAGAATTGCAGTCCTCAGATCTCATTCTCCTGAGTAGCTAAGATTATAGGTATGAGCTACCAGTACTTAGTTTTTATTTGGCATTTCTGAAAGCTGGGAAACTGTGAGTGGGGACATGGACAAGAGGTGACCGTGTTGGCCCCCACTCTCTATCCACTCTCTATCCCTCACACCAGAGGGAGGTTCAGAAGAGACCCTAGGAGGACATTCTCAGCATAGAAGTCCCTTCCTGACTTGTCTCTCTGAGTGCTCTGCAGGGTACCCTGCTCTGCTTACATTGTTCTCTTACCTTTCAGGCATTCCAGACTGCAGCTGTTCCAGTGCATCTGTATCTAAGATAATTTTATGATATCTGCTGATAAGCCTGAAACATTGCAATCGCTGAACTTGAGGGGGGATAAAAAAAAACTTCTCTAAATGTCAGCGTTTCCTTGGAAAGGCAAATGGCACTTTGACATCAATGAGGGGGAGAGGTCACTTCACCAGGCTTCCCTTTGCTATCATCTTTCTGGCACATTAGAGTCCCCATATGGACCAGCTCGTCTCCTAGAAAATGCCTGAAAACAGGGGACAGAGCAGTTTAGATAGGGTAAAGCTGAGCGGTCATGCCTGAGGTGGAGGGTTCTATGATCTGTGCTTGTTGATGAAGGTAAAGTGGTTCTAGGAGGGGGATAGGGCATAGCCACAGGCCAGTGTGTAGACACTAGTCCTCCCAGGGGATTTCTGGGTGGTCTCCATCCACTGACGCTTGCTGCAGCTGCATCACCTCTTGTTCTCATGGCTATGTGGTCCCTCCCCCCATGTTGGTCTCCATCTCTTCTCAGTCTCTCGCCCCACACTGTCCTTTGTCTCTAGGGCTTCTGTGAGAGTGCACTGAGTCTGTTCTTCATCACTAACAGCCTGTTTCCAAGTTGCAGCTCCCCTGAAAGCTCTTCTTCCCTCCTCCTCCTACTTCTTCCTTTCTCCTTCCATCTGGTTCCATTTTATGCATTTCTTCTTGGTATTGTCTGATATGCCAAAGAATTTAAGAGGGTTATTCAAAGCTTTATGTGCACACTATGCTAAATAAATATAGTTGGATTGGGTTCTTTTTGTTCTTTGATGGAGCAAGAAACTTAAAACATTTTATACATAACTGAATTTATTCTAATTCAAAATATTTTTATTTCATTAGGTAAATAATAGAGAAGTGCATTTTTCAACTAACTATATTGTAAATTCCATTTGTGGAATCTTTGCAGCTATGACCAATAGCATGGAGAAGAGGAAAGAGAAAGAGACTGAGGCGGGAGGTAGAGAGGATTAGAGACACATACAGAGATATAAAGATAGAGACAAAGGGGAGAGCGAGCGTACAAGAGAGCGAGAGGGAGAGAGTGAGAGAGCGAGAGCGAGAGAGAGAGTGAAAGAGAGAGAGAAACAGGGAAGGGTGATTTTTTTCACGACAGTATATGAATGAACAATATTCCTTTCTCAAAATCTTTGCTTTGCCTTGATATTCATCAGTCTCCTGTTTCTCTTTTGGTGTGCACACGTGGTGGACTCTGGAAACCTCAGGATGAAGTTTTGACAGTGATCCGGAGAGTGGATGACAACTGGGCTGAAGGCATGCTCGGAGACAAGATTGGGATCTTCCCCCTGCTGTATGTGGAGGTGAGCTCACGTATGCACCTGCCTTCTGTGTTGCCATTGAGGCTCTAAGGCAGAATGTGAGAGAGCCTCAGCTCACATAGCTGCTTGCTGGGGCTTCCTTCAAATTGCCCTGCTGATGCAAGGAGCAAAAGATTCCCTTGAACAGTTTTGAGTGGTGTCTTCCAGGCTTGAATACAGTCTTTTCACCCTGGGCACCAGGGGCCAGGGTCCTTACCCCCTTCTCCACACAGACACCAAGCCCAGCACTCATTTCTCTGAGACTCTCCCAAATCCTGCTACTCTTCTTGTCTCCCAACCCTGAGAAGAGTCCACAATGGAGGCGTTAACCATGAGTCACTCAGCAAAGGTGACTGGTTTTAGAGCCTATCTCTTTGCTGCAATGGGAAGCACAGTTTCTGGTGTACCTTTATAAGAATTGCTAAGCTACACTGGAAAGGCCTTCTCACCATAAGTTGTTCATGTGAGGAGTGTTTTTTTCCAGTTGTGTATACCCATCATTGGTCAGTACAAGGCTATGTATGGTCTGTGAGCTGATCACCTTCTTTCATCCTATAACCACAGAACTCATCACAGTAGAGTCATTTCAATTGATCATGAGTGCCAAACACTTCCCAGTACTTCTTGCGCTAATGTTCCCAACAGTTCAAACAATGACTGTCCCTACATCTCAGACAAAGACACAATGGGTTCTAGAAGGTTGCCAGGCCCCACAGCTATTTGTGACAGAGGTGAGTTAGAACATAAAGATAGGGCATTAGACTTAACCCTTCATTCCCATGCCTCATGTAGTCTCCTACCAGTGAACTGGACTCTGCTCAAATTAATGTGGTATGGATCACCTTACCTGAGTGCTCATCCTCCCCTAGCAAACAAGGGCTTGAGACTGGTACAGGGAATATTGTTAATGGAATATGGACGCTTGTAGAGCTTTGATTTTAAAAATGACTACTGAGTAAACTTCTGCTTTGGCATGTTATTTAAGGCACCCTGAAGTGTGGCCCTAATCTATTTTTCTAACCTCCTATATCACCAACTTCTTTCCCTTTCACAAATATTCTGGACCACATTTACTTCGTACAAACTGCCCATGGAATGATGATACCCTCCCAAGCTAATGACAGTAAACGCGCGCGTGCGTGTGTGCACGAGCACACACACACACACAGACACATGCACGCGTGCACACACACACATGCACAGTCTAAGATTCATAATGTTCCTAAATATCTCAATAAGTTTCCTTAGATTTGTGCATTGATTGCAGCTTGGGGATAGATGAGGATTCTCTATCTTGCTGTTTAAAATCAGAGGAGATAATGCATGTACAAGGTTGTATAGAAGTAAAAAAAAAATGCCCAGATTATTTTACCCAGTGGGTTTTATTCCCCCAAGTAGACAGGGCTTTCCAAAGATATATAAGAAAGTATTTGTTTATTACAATGGTCCCAAGTCAGAAACAGCCCAAATGTTTATCGGCGGTAGAACAGTTTAGTACAGCATGCTATATTCACACAGTGGGACATCATCAATGGAAAAATGAACAAAAATCTCCTACACCAAGAAGCAAAGATGAATATTAAGCCTACTGAATGAATATTCTCAGGAAGTTGAAAGCAGGAAAAACTCATCAGTGGTGGTAGAAGCCACAATAGTCACTTGAGGGATTCTCACAGTGCTAGAGAGGTTCTAGGGTACAAAAAGCCCCCACATCTTGGACTCAGCTGTGTTACACAGATGTTAAAATTATAAAAAGGTGTATACCAAAGGCTTGTGTGCTTTTCTTTTAAGCTAAGAAATAATCTTACAGGAATTCTTATGGTAAGTGTAGCACTTCCTCTGTGTTGGACCCCATCAGCTCTCCTTTCTCTGGAAAGGCCTCACAGACATGTCAAGGATGGTGAGGGCTGGGACTCAGGCCTGAAACCCTTTCACTAGGACCCTTACCAACCTTGCCATTTGTGCCCACCCTTTACCTTACCTTACCTTACCACCCTTACCACTGCACATGAACACTGCCTCTTTCCACTTGCCTACATCCTTAGATACAAGGCCATGATGACTCTGAGACTCAGTGACTATCCTTCCTCCAAAGAACATAGCCAGCTCTTTGCCTGAAGTATCCTGAGCAGGGCCCCTGTGGCTCCCCCTGCTCCTCCCTGGGAAAAGCGGCACTAAACTTGCCTTGTCATCCATCACTCTAGGGTTTTGGTTCTGAAATGGGCTATCTTTAGACAAGAATCCCCAAGTGGGTATTTCTTGAGAGCTTTGCTGTTTGTATATCCATCCCCACTTGGCATGCAAAGATGCAAAATCCTGCTGTGATTCTCACCCCCACACACCCTTTTAGGATGTGGATTTTGGTGGATCTGAAAGTATCATTGTAACTCAGACAGTCTTCCCTCTGGAAGGCCCAGCAGACCTGTCTCTGTCTCTTGGTCTATGAGTCAGGTGGGTATGTCAGGAATGAGGCTGGGGGCTCTGTTATGGGATACAACTCTGGCAGAAGGCACAGTGTAGAGAGTTGTGTCCCAGTGCTCAGGAAGGAATGTGACCCAGCCTTATAGCAGAGACATATCTGTAATCCAGTGTGCACATACATGGACATACAGGACATTTCAGCTGGAACCTAAAGCATGGTGCATGAGTGCCAGGTTTATGGACACGTATCAGACTGGAACCCTTCCAGCTCACCTAGGTACCTGCCCTTGCCTTCCTCTAGTCTGTGATGTTAGACCCACTGTGGGCTCGCAAATGAATAAGAATGTGCACTATAGGGCAAAACTTCATCAGTGAGCATACTCAGGAAAAAAAAAAGGTTGCAAACAAAACTGGAGAAACCTGACCTATATTGCTTCAGCAGCTCTCTGAGAAGGCAAGTCTATTCTCTAGAAATATCTGCAATTCCTAGTGCACTATAGAAATAATTTTTTGCTACCCTCTCCACAGGTGCCATGTACCCGCTTCCAACATATACACACCAGTGTCTGAGCCATTGGCCCCCAGCCTGTCTATGTCTACACCATGCTCACCCACCTTTCCCACGTCCTCTGCATGCTGCCCTGGCCTCAGCCTTCCTGAAACTGTTTGTTTTTCACCCTCCAGTGGCCATCCCTATGCTGAGATCAAGGACACCTGTCTAGCCATCATATGACAGTTGGGCACATGTGCTGGCTTGGGGGACTCTTGGAATGCAGAGAGAAAAAGTCTAGGCCTCACACACAGGAACTCTGTGCCAGTGAATGGGACCGGAATGGAACCCAAATACTCCACAGGTCTTTCTTCTTCTGTGTCTACAGTCTTTGAGAGGCCAGAATGATTTGTCATCATTTTGGCTTTTAGAAAGCCCTTGTTCTAATGTTGGTGAGAATGATTGAGCCTAAGAAATTCCTCTTTCCCCCCTTTAAGGGCATCAGTGGTGGTGTGAATGTGCCAGATGATAGCCTATGAAGGGCTCTACTTTGTAGCATGGGTGCCCACCTGAGATCCCAGCCATCCCAGTCTCTCTCTCTAGGGACTCCAAAGCAGCATACTTGGGGCTTCCCGTCAGCTCAACTCTGAGCTAGTCATAACAGCCAGGCTCCCTGACATGGTGGTCCAGTAGAAGAGCCAGCCAGGAAGCAGTCATGGCGGACCCAGCTTATCTACCTCACCTATACATTAAATGTGCAGCCTGTGACTAAGCCTCTTCATGTACCTCATGAAGTACAAAGAGACACATCCTTCAGAGGTTGGAAGCTCAGAGTCCTTGGGTGTGTTGTGAAGGTTGTATTCTGAATAATGAGAGAGATGGAAAGGAAGAGTTGATCCAGAAAGTGGAAAGAAGAGTATTTTCATCCTAAGCTTCATGTGGAGGCAGGCAGAGAATTTTTGTGTCTTTACACCTTTGGTGTCTACATGCTTCATATTCTTTCGTGTAAGTGGCTAGCAAACCCTGTGTGATGTGCAGGCAACTGTTGGTGTTATTTATAGATCCCAGGAAAATTAATGGTGGCAAAACTATAATCTTCATTGTGCTACCAAATAAATACGATGCCTCCTGCGAAGTAGACACTGCTAATGACAACCATTTCTCAGTTCCAGAATGGCAATGTGCACTGTTAGTCAGCTTGCCTAAACCTCAGTCAGCTCTGTGCCAGACTCAGGTCATCCTGCTGTGTGGCAGGCACTTCATTTTCTATAAAGAGGCAATATTATTTTGAACCTCTGCCTCTAAAGGCAGTTTTGGCATTAACTTACAGGCGCTACTAGCAGTTGTATTGGGAATAACAGAACTCTGTGGGTGTTATTTGTGTTTCTTGCTGTTGCAAATCCGTGGCTGGCTCTTCCAGTGGCTAGATGCCCTATCACACAGAGCCTACTGTTTCCTCCTTCGTCTTGCTGATTTCTAGCCCCTTGACTAAAGCAGAAAGATGTTTTCAGGGATGAAGTTAAGGAAAGAGAATATATGAGTTAAGGTTCTCCTGAAAGATAGAATCAATAAGCTACATAAATAAATAGAATAGGGTAAATAGATTTGTAGAATAAATAAAATACATAAGATATATAGAATGGAGCCAGCTGTGGTGGCATAGGACTATAAGATTCACTCTGAAGGTGAATTCCAAATTTGAGTCTACCTGGGATATATATCAAGAAAAGGGAAGACATGTGAAAGGGATTTTATTGAAGGACTTGGCTTGTGCAATTATGGAGTTGGAGAAGTATCACAACAGACTGTCTGCAATCTGGAGCCGCTGAGATGCTGGTAGTATGGCTCAGTCTAAATCCAAAGGCCTCAGAACAGAGATGCTAATAGCTCTTAATCTGAAACAAAACACCTAAGAACTAGGAGTAAAGGCGAGAGTTGCTGTTGTAAGACCTGGAGACCTGAGGCCAGAGAAGCTGGAGTTCCTATGTTCAAGGACTAGAGGAGATGAGTCCCAGCTCTAAGGGAGAGGAAGAGAAAGAGAGTGGACTAGGGGTAAAAGACAATGGAGAAAGAGAGGGGAGAGTAATTTATT